AGGAAATGATTCAAAGCTACAATTGTAAGATTGCAAATTACAGTTGTAAGATTCCTGAAGGTTATGTTTTGTCTAGAGCTGCAGATGAAGTTAACCACACTGGGATACTAGACTGTATATGTTTTATACATTTCTTTATTGTTTTGTTGTTTTTCTGGGTTTTAAAAAAACATTTTAATATCTTAGTCATCTGTAAAGGCTGAAACTGTCAAACCTAGAAGCAAAGAGCCTGAGACCAGGCATGGCGGAGGTGTCCTCCACATCTAAAACTGAGATACAAGCAGCAAGAAGTCAGTTACGATAAGGCTGGGAGAAAAGCATAATAATTAAACCCTGGGTTGCTATATACAACAGGCCAGATTATCTAATTCAACAGTAAGAAATCTTCATTATTACCACTTCGTTTGCTGCAATAGAAGCAACACATCTATCCAAATCTTTTGACTGTTCCACTCCTAGCTCCTAAGTCCTGGTTTAGTTTCTAGAGAGATTTTTATTGCTGTGTCCTGGGTGAAACTCTTATAGCAATCCATGTAGAGAATTTCAGTTGGCCAGATTTGAAGTATAATTAATTAATAATTAATACCACCATGATTGCCATATTGTCAATTCCCCAAATGTGTTCCAAAGATTTGGAGAAAACATGCTATTTCTTCAGAGCTTAAATTCTGGTTTTCTAACCACAAGTTTCTGAGATTTCCAAATTGGAAAAACTGCAGGTTAAACATCGCTGGCAAATTAAAGTATGAATGGCTGAACCACAGGATCCGAAGTTCAGGATAGAAGTATCAAAAGCAGACACAAAACCTGAAGTGGATAGGTAAGGGGAAAATTTAGATTTGAAAAATGCCATTGCAGTTTCCTCCTGAAAGACAATCTTTCCCCTAGATCTGGAGATAAATTAATGAAAAAAAATTGTATAGTATAATCCTAACCACATTTATTTATAACCGATTAATTCAATGAGATTTGAACCCTAATAAAGTTGTACAGTATAGAATATATCTTAAGTTATGTGAATCTATACAGTGGACACTAAACCTGAATTTCCCAAAAGTAAAATCAGTCAATTATTTAATCTATAATTAATTATTTGGGTTGTCAGTAGCACTGATAAATTGACTAAAGCATATAACCTGTATTAAAAAAAAACAACTACAAAATTCTTCAGCCAAATCAGAGTTACCAACTGTGGTTATGAATGTACATAATGGACAGCTTATGTATTGTAAGACAAACTTAATATAAAGGCAGAATTACACTTTCAAGCTGGAGTTTAAAACAAGAATCACAAACTGTTTAGTAAAGACTGCAGTTACATGGTATAATGAATCTATGTCACAGAATCCCTCCACATACAATTAGTCTGTGCATGTTTTGGGAAATGTCATGTGTTAGATAATCACTGATCTCCAGGCCCACCTTACCAGCTCAGCTTCTTTCAGTTCAACTCATTACTGTGGAACATATCCACAGAACTGTGTGCAGGCCAAATCAGAAACTGGTGTGTGGTTTATGTATCAATGCCACAAAGAAGCCATCATTGGTCTGGAAACAAACCTGTTTACAACTGATGAAGAACCCCTCAGTATATACATATTGAGCTAGATCCTAGGTTCCATTTGGCTATCACTGTTGAAAAACTGGTTTACTATGTTTTACTGTGGATCTACAATATTGTCCTTGAAATGACAGTCACAATCTCAATAGCATAATGCAATGAGAATGAATCTGCTGAATTTAAAATTGAAGAATATATACAAAGGGGTTATCTAAGATTGCTAAATATTGTTAATATAGTAGTCATGACATGTGGCAACTACTTCAAATTATTTGCTCATCGGGGAACATCCTGGTTCCAGTGCCTAAACAAAGTGATCTAGCACAGCATAGCAAACTCATATGACCTTGTATTAATATTAAAAACAGCCTGGTCAGTAAGCAGAGTCTATGTCACATTAATGGCTCACCAATGCTAGCAGTTACCTCATCAGCAAATTCAATGTGCGTGTAACATGAACCATGTACATTATATCATCCCTAACATTTCACACACATCTCAATACCATTTTTGATCAAAATGCTGAATCATGGGTATACCAGGATTTTATGTTTAAAAACACATTTCCGGCTTCAGAATATCTTTGTGTCTGCTATTAATATGAAAGACTAGACTGCACCATTAGCAATACAAAAATAAATTATACCATCCTAATTTTAGGTGGCATGGAGGGAGGGAGCCTTTATGTTGTTTGGGGAAAAGTTTTTTAAACTTAAGTGACTGAAATGTTTGTCCAAGTAAAACAGCATGATTGATTTGGCGCTCACTGATGGATTAAATTTTGGCAAGGAAAAACTGTAGGGAAGAATGAAATGGTTCTTTGTATCATTAACCTTATGTCTCTTTCTCTATGGAAAGCATACTCAAGATTCTCAGCTTGAAAAAAGAATGGAAGGGAGAATATAACACAAGGGGACAATTAAAAAATAATCAGAACTGATTCATGTTTCGCAATAGTACAACGTAATTAATTTTCACATGTGTCTTGCTTTTGTTGACAAGATGTAGGATAAGACTTGTAATGATATGGTCTTAAATCAAAACACAATTCTGCTCCAATATTATCCATTGGACTAATTCCACAGATAAAGTCTTAGAGTGAACAGGCATGAAGTGACACTGTCATATTCAGGAGCCACATCAGAACAGAATAGGAACAGAAGAAGATAAAGAAATATGTTCCCTCCCTTGGCTTCCGAGGTAAATGCTGCATCCGTGATTTTATGCATGTCCAGTCTTTGCTCAGCAATTGAATGGGAAGTCTCTTGGGGGTTGAGTTATCCTGTAAATTCCTTGCAGCACAGATAATTATGCCATTCTGACTGCTTGCTTAATCTATTTGAATCCAGAGGTGAGTTAGGCCACTTCCTGACCATTAAAGTAAACTACATGGGTAAATACTGCTGTCACTAAAGGGGTGTGATGAAGCTTAACTACACCAACATCTTAACTTCGGCTCAGTGCAACCCAAGCTATTCCATCATAGTTCATAAATGCGATTGCAGGTCCATCTTTTGATTCAGCAATTTAATAACTTCGAGTGCTGTCAGTAGTGCTTTGAAAAATGGATCCTATAAAATGTAACAGCCTCAATCAGATTGTAAAAGATTCACCCACTGAAGATTCTCCCATTTCAACTATAATGAATTAATGTTGAGCTGTGTAGAAGTTCAAGTGTCAGTTAAACTAATGGGAATCTGTAGTGTAGGCTTAAATTTTAACTGGACCAAAAATTTATTGGGAACATCAAGTTCAATTTTAGTGATCTTCATGGTAAATGTAATATGTGCAGCTGAATGGATTTCCTTTGTTTTGAGAGGATGGAAGTTAACAGAAAAAATATGTAATTCTAGAGGTATGTTTTGAGAGTTAGTTATGACAAAGCATGTTTTCCCCCCACTTTCCTAGTCATTTTTTCTATTAAACATCACTGTATCAAAGAGGTCTTATATTTTACAAATGTATTTTAGACAAATGCTCGTAGGAAGCAGAGAAGGGAATAGAAAATATTTGCTAGTTGTAACAAACATAAAACTAAAATGCAAAGATGGCTGTACTTGCTGCTGATTGTCATTACAAAGAGTAAATGAACAGAAATACATTTCAAATTGATAAAATACAATAATATAAGATTGCTATCTAGGGATAAAAGATCCTATGGAAGTGTTTCATATCTGTGGATACCATGATCATAGAATTGGTTATTTTCCAAACATTCTGTATTTTCAACAGAGTCCTTATTTATCAACTGGCACTTTGAGCAATTATTTAAGAAATGGAAAATATGAAATATTTTGGGATATTATATCATTATTTGTACATTCTATTCATGTTTAGAGGCCACCTCCTCAGCAAAATGGGACAAGATATGCTTTGTTTAATCTGATTAATGAAGAATACAAATGAGATTTAGCTCAGCTGTGTTTTTGAAACCAAGAACTGAGTACTTTCTGTTGTGTGTCTATATTATTTTTTGTTACAGCCCTCATTTCCCTGTCCTCCACCCTCTTAGAATAAATACCTTATTCTTTTGTTAAGCTCACATTTAATTAAAATGTACAGGATTTGTGCAGTGAACTTGAATGAAACAAATAAAACAAGGGCCCCCTCTCTTGAAGGCATACGTTGTGAATGAAAAATGTCATTACAGTCTAAAAAATTTTGCAGTAAACAGGGCCTACAGAGGGAAGTTTCCCCTGTAATGACATCCATAAAATACACAAATGGCACTTTTAGTACCATCCTGAATATGGCATTTTCTGTGCTCTACACACAATCTAAATGG